ACATTTCCATTGAGAAACACAACTTAAAATTTCCATAGTGACCCAGTATTCATGTATATGATTGTACTTCTGTAACACCAAGCTGAAATTTCACAAAACAATTATGGGGTGGCTCATTCCTGTAAATAGCATCCATCATTGCTGTTTGAGGCAGTGGGATTGCAGAATTTATAGAAGCCAAAAGCTGAGGAAGTAGGATTGCTGTTTGAGGTGGATCTATAAATTAATAAAAGTTTAGAAAATAATGTTTCTACTTTCATTTTCCTGTTTTGAATATTTGTAGTTAACCGTGGTACCTTGCTGTCTTATGTTACTGGCTCATCTCATAAAGTATTAGTAAATTACTGCACATGGGTGCCCAACACCTCAAATCCCAGTGTTCAAGAGGCAGAAATAGATCTCTGCAAATTCCAGGCCAGCCAGAGCTAGAAGTGAGACTCCATCTTATAGAAAAAGAATTTCTATAAGAAAATAAGTGTTTATATACTCAACAGTCACACACACACACACACACACACAGAGAGAGAGAGAGAGAGAGAGAGAGAGATGCCAGGGATAGTTCCTAAATGAGACGGCAGTAATAACAATGGTATTGAATGTTGTCATCCCAGCCCCCAAAGTACTAATAAGCAGACCACCTGTGTTTAGGAAAAGTTTAATTTCTTCCTAAATCCAAATACCATTTGGAGAACAGTGGGTCAAATACCCCTGATATTGCCCATATTAGCATATAGGAAGTATGGTTGCTGGAAAGGAGACATATCATGTTAACAGTTATGCTGTCTCAGAAAGCTCAAGCACAATGACTTATTTTACCTCCTTAGATTCTAATTATTCTTTTGGAAACAATTCATTTCACCCTTAGATAACATAAGTATAGTGTATGAGCTATAAAAACTTTAGTGAGGAGAAACACAAAAGTGATTAAAGGACATAAGGAGGGTGAAAAGGAAATATACAGACTTAGGGGACCAGGGAGTATGGAGGTTTAAAAGACTAAAATCTATGGAAGGTAACATCTGCTCTGGAAGTTAAAGCAAATTATCAACAAGGGTAGTATGGGGATCCAGCAGAGCATGCCCATAAGTACAGATTCTTGGCTGATATGAACAAGGCAAATTAGGAAGTTTGATATTGACAATACGGCAAAAGCTATTAGATAGCCCTCTCCTTTAGTTTTAAATATTTTTGATATACTACTGAATTCCAGATCTTTTTGTCTGTGTGACACTTACCCCCTCTATATCACCCTTCGTCTAACTTCAAGATTTCTTGTATGAAAACAAAAAGCAAAAACAAAACTAAATACATATCATAGATCCATCACTGTGCAATTCAACTCTTTACTGATCCTTGTCTTAATAAATGACATTAATGTCTACCTAAGAATGTGGCATCTGCGGAGGCCCATGCCTGTAATCTCAGCACTCAAAAGGAGGCAGAGGCAAGAGGATCTCTGTGAGTTCAAGGCCAGCCTGGTCTGCAAAGTGAGTTCCAGAACAGCCAGAGATGTTACACAGAGAAACCCTGTCTTGAAGAAGAAGGAGGAGGAGGAGGAGGAGGAGGAGGAGGGAAGGAAAGAAAGTGGCATCTGTCACCTAGTATTCATTTCTATATGCCATTAGTAAAGCAAAACTATGTTCTTATATGGGAGACAAGGTGTGCTTGAGTTTATAAAGTTTATTTAGAGGATAACTTGACCACACTATTATGATAGATATCACATGGAATATTGTCAAAAACAATATTCATGCACATGTAGCCATATCTTATCACTGGTCCTGAAAAACTATTTCATGGAATTCTAACTGAAAGACTAAAATTGTGAGATATATACTGAGTATTGATCAGTGCAAACCTGAGAAAACAAACAAACAAACAAAAATACCTGTGTGAGCCTTCTAGAGTTTCTAATAGAGAGCTTGGTGCTGCTGTGTGCAAGACAAAAATGTATTGCTTACTCAACAGTCAACAGGTGGCTTAGCCTGGATCCGAAGACAAACTTTCCGTCTGCAGTGGGCCTCACGGGCCTTCTTTCCAAAATATTCATCTTCCTTTCCAGGTCACTTCCATGGAGAAGAACTTTATTTTGCTTTAGGGATTCATGCCAAAATGAAACACTATTATTCTATTTAAAATTTTTATTTTGTGTTTGAGTGTGGTATGTATGATAGCATGTGTGCATGTAGTGCAGGTGTGTGGCCAGTCTTATACCTTCAGTTGAGGGCCCCTATTCTGACCCAGAGCTTTGAGACTCATTACATTAGTTAATTTAGCAAACTTATTTCTGCCTCCCTTGTGCTGGAGTTGCAGACAGGCACATGATTGCTAAGGACCAGAACTCCTCATTCTTGCACAAGCGCTTTTTCCCAATGAGCCCACTGACAAGTTGAGAAAGTATGTTACATAGGTCACTTGGCCAGAAGCTGAATACTCTGCTGAAAAGGAAAACCAATGTTAGACAAATATATGAACCCTTAAACTCATGGATGGCCCTCACAGGCCACAGGAAGCCTGGTTTTAGTACTCTGGCTAATCATGGTTTTTGCATCTTCAAAATGGTTTTCTTCCTGTTTCTCTACCCAGTCAATCATTTATCTGAGGATCGTGAACACATTACCAGGAGTATACCAACTAACACAAATTCCCTTCACAGGGCTGGAGAGATGGCTGAGCAATTAAGAGGCTTGTTACTCTTCCAGAAAGACCTCAGATTCCCAATATCACATGGTGGCTCACGTAAGGGTTCGAAGAAATGCTAAAGGATACCCAGACTAGTATGTAAAAGCAAAGAGCATTTATTAATATACATGCATCTGTGGGCTGTTAGCCTGTTCAAAATGTCAACAGCTAAGAGCTGTTTCAGGAAGTTAGATCATCTCACATAATTGGTTAAGCAAACAGCATTTACACTAGTATACTTTTAATTGCCTGAGATTTAGTTTTATCATTTTTGGACATATATGCACAAGTTTGAGCAAGATGGGGTGATTCAGAAGGGGGCTGCAGGATTTGTCCTTGAGACAGTGTGAGACTGACCTAACTTACGCCTGAGAAAAGGGTACGTGGACAAACGGCCCTTTGTGGTAGACACCTTTCTCAGAGAACCGAAACCTAAACTCAGTTGTGAGTGGGTGAGTCTAACCCCTTCACTCACAAACCTCTAGAACTCCAGTTGCAGGAGACCCAATGCCTAATTCTAGCCCGAGAGCACCATTACACAAGCGGTACAGACATGCAGATTAAACACCATACACCTTTTGAGCATATTATCTACCAATACTTGCTAATTTCTACCATGAAAAACGCAGACTATGAGTTTACAGCCGAGGGTCGAGTGGGAGGGGGTGTTATCAAACGTCCTTAAGCTTTTCACGTACCTTTGGACTCGATAGCTTCAACAGCTGCTAATCAGAAAACATGACAATTTTAGGCTACAAACCAACCACCAAATAAATTTAGGCACAGCCAGACCCAACATTCTAAGTAATCTCCAAAATAAATACTTGTAAACTTTTGTTAAAACACGTAAAGCTATGTACTGTTGGTATTTGGGGAGACTGACAAAAGGACTAATTGCCCACTTGGCACTTATGAAGGAATATGGCTTATACATGGGTAGCAATAATGTAGTAAAGAAGCGAGCTAGTACTGTTCCAGGGTTAAAGGCCCAAAGTACTAAGAGTCAAATAAAGCAAACAGCTCTTTCCATGTAGATATGGGTGGCTCTGAAAAGAGCCTTTGAAAAACACTGTAAACCAACTTAAGCCCTCTCTCCACGGATGCGGCGGGCCAGCTGGATGTCCTTGGGCATGATGGTGACTCGCTTGGCGTGGATGGCGCACAGGTTGGTGTCCTCAAACAGACCCACCAGGTAGGCCTCACAGGCCTCCTGCAGCGCCATGACGGCCGAGCTCTGGAAGCGCAGGTCAGTCTTGAAATCCTGAGCGATCTCGCGCACCAGGCGCTGGAACGGCAGCTTGCGGATCAGCAGCTCGGTGGACTTCTGGTAGCGCCGGATCTCGCGCAGAGCCACGGTGCCGGGCCGGTAGCGGTGAGGCTTCTTCACGCCGCCGGTGGCCGGGGCGCTCTTGCGGGCAGCCTTGGTAGCCAGCTGCTTGCGCGGGGCTTTTCCGCCGGTGGACTTGCGAGCTGTCTGCTTGGTACGAGCCATAGTCACAACACTGGACCTTGAAAAGAAAAGTCTGAAGCAGGCAGGCCCGCGACCAACATTTATACAGGCGAACGGATTCTGATTGGTCAAAAATGGCTGCAGGAAAAAAATCTAATTGGCTGTTGGGTCCTTTCGTTTTCTGCAGTCTGATGAACGATTTGTTTTTGAGCAGTAGTGTGGAATTCCCCTAATGAAAAGACAATCCGACCGCCTCAAAAAACAAAAACAACAAAAAAAAAAGAATTGCAAGAAAGACAATGCGACCGGGTGTTAGTGGAAATCAATGTAATTTTTTCTTAAACCATTTTTATGGCCCCCTTTCTGTTTCAGATTAAATGAAAAGGTTATGTATTAGGTAGTGACTTTTGAAAAACGGCTTTAAGTGATTAGCACATGGGGCCCTACAATTTGTGAACTTTAATTTGCAGAGCGAAGGAGGTAGGGAGGGTGAGTGGATATGTGATTAGCGGTGATGCAATCAAATGTGACTTTCTCAGATGGTTTTGGTGTTGGCAAATTGAGGCTGATGTGTCAGTCAGGTCCATAAATCATTTAAGGGGGAACGTATATAGTTACTAGTTGTTTCCCAATAAATGAGTTCCTGAATATCATGAATTGGAATGAACTGTAAGGCCAGAGTACCGGCCTTACAGTCTAGAAAACATTCAACCTTTCAATATGCACAGTATTTAGTAACACATTTTTGACCCAATGTAGACAGGCAACATATAATTTCAGTGATTTGAGCAAACGATGGGGCAATGCATTGAACAAATCTCAACGCACTTAACAGCTCGGCAGTGTTCAGTCCTTTTGGAGAGAGAGTGAGTGGCTCTGAAAAGAGCCTTTGACTTAACTAAAAGGTTTGCTTTAAATGACCTATTTTCCCTTGGGCTTGTGGTGGCTCTCGGTCTTCTTGGGCAGCAGCACCGCCTGAATGTTGGGCAGGACGCCGCCCTGGTCGATGGTCACGCGGCCCAGCAGCTTGTTGAGCTCCTCGTCGTTACGGATGGCCAGCTGAAGGTGGCGCGGGATGATGCGGGTCTTCTTGTTGTCGCGGGCCGCGTTGCCAGCCAGCTCCAGGATCTCGGCCGTCAGGTATTCCAGCACGGCCGCCAGGTACACCGGGGCCCCGGCGCCCACGCGCTCCGAGTAGTTGCCCTTACGGAGCAGACGGTGCACACGGCCCACAGGGAACTGCAGGCCGGCCCGGGAGGAGCGGGTCTTGGCCTTGGCGCGAGCCTTGCCACCCTGTTTGCCGCGTCCAGACATACTAGAAACTTAACTGTGCCTATTGTTATTAAAAAGACACACTGGCAATATTTATAGATAATGCAGGGCGCGAAAAAGGAGCAATTCCATTGGTTACACAGAAACACCAACGGCACCGTGGTTTTGAAAAACTCCTCCTTTGATTGGACAGTTAGTAGATGACGTTTTCTGACTCAGGCTAAGTATAGCCACAAGTTTGTTTAAAAAGGGACCAGTTCGCTCAACTCCAAACAACTATTTCTTTTGTTTCTCGTATAGGTTTCTATCTTCGCTATGCCTGAACCAGCAAAGTCCGCGCCCGCCCCGAAGAAGGGCTCCAAGAAGGCCGTGACCAAGGCCCAGAAGAAGGACGGTAAGAAGCGCAAGCGCAGCCGCAAGGAGAGCTACTCGGTGTACGTGTACAAGGTGCTGAAGCAGGTTCACCCCGACACCGGCATCTCCTCCAAGGCCATGGGCATCATGAACTCGTTCGTCAACGACATCTTCGAGCGCATCGCGGGCGAGGCTTCTCGCCTGGCGCATTACAACAAGCGCTCGACCATCACGTCCCGGGAGATCCAGACGGCCGTGCGCCTGCTGCTGCCCGGGGAGCTGGCCAAGCACGCGGTGTCCGAGGGCACCAAGGCCGTCACCAAGTACACCAGCTCCAAGTGAGCGCGCTGACTTTCTTGACCCCAAAGGCTCTTTTCAGAGCCACCCACAGTTTCATATGAAATTGCTGTTACATGCATCTTAATCAGTCCTATTTGATATCTCCTGCTGCCTCGCCTTTGCCGAGGCAAGTTCCATCTCATGGTAGTGTGAATTTTTGAGTGATTTTCAATGGTCTGAGATTTGAATGTCCATGAACATAAATCTAGCAATATAAGTCAAACTACCCTTTTTCTGCCATCTTGTCACAACAGATAGAAGCACAAGCCCATGCCCTTGAGTTTTCTTGTCCAAACTGATACTTGCTTCTGGTAATGAGGGAATTGCATTGGGTCACCCTGTTCCCTAGTAACTACGGGAGTTGTGTGACAGAAGGGAGCATAAGATGGACGAGAATGGGCGAGCATAAAGGGAATATCTCTGGTCAGAGCCATCTAAAACAAAAACTACCCAAAATCACATCAAGATAACTGAAAAATAATTACAGGCAAGCTTTATAGCTTTAGATATCTTTTTCTTTGTAGTCCTTTGACAGTTTCCAGTGCTTAATCATGTCCAAAGATCTTATTAAAACACTTTACTAAAATGACAGGGCTGACATAAGCAACACAATACAGGCAACAGATATTCTGAAGTTCAAAATCAAAGTATAAATAAGTGTAGTACTTCTGAGGCCTCTTCCAGATTTGTCAGGTAGAGTCCCTGGCCTTTGATATGGACCTAGTTAGCCCAGTATCTCTGATCCAACCAAATCAGGGCTCCATTCTTGGGACATTTCTTAAGAAACTGGATTTATGATAAGCTTCTGGGCAGGTGGTAAGCCACTGGCCTGAAGCTCCAATTTGTCAAGATCCTGTCGTCTCCAACCACAATTATATTGACGCACAAGACCTTGCCACATGCATTTGTAACCACACTTAACACTATTGTTTTATTTCAACCTGCTATTACTTCATATTCTCTTTCATTTTAAAAGTCTGAATTTCGTTAAAATTTAGCTAAAGTAACAGCTGAGAGTCTCTAAAGCAGCATTATGTCAGGTGCTCATAGGGGTCCAACAGATATGTTACTGGACATTTGAAACCATGTCTCATTTCAACATTTTTTTTTTTTTTGAAATCCATAGCCTTCTGACATCGTATTCATTTTTTCTAATTTTAATAGAGATAGCATTATGAGACACTAAGGCTCCTAAACTTGTCACTTTAGTTTCTTCAAAATTCAAAAGAAACTAGGAAATAAATCAGTAAAGAAAAATAGAACTATTCACTTTTGAGTGGGAACTGGGTATATAAGAGGTCCTGGGTTCCCTCTGCTTTTCCTGTAGTGGTGTTACAGATTTATAGAACCTATGAAACAAACCCAGGACATGAAGGTGTTGGGTCTAGGTGAGATAGACTGTCCTGCTATGAAAGCTCTTCCTGGAGGCAAGTTCATCCCCAGAGTCAGCATTTTAGCAGGTCCCTTCCCCATCTTAGGATTCCTTGGGGAAATTTTAATTCTTTTCAGTCCATTAGCTTAGCACTCCTCTTTCAAAAAGGACCAAAATACATCTCAGTAGTTTCTTAGCTTTGTTATAACAACCATGCACATGTGTGGCCATAAAACTGATGGAAATTGACAGGACCTGTGTGAGTATAATGCCTGTAAAACAGTTGCACTGACGAAGTTGTCCAGTTTTCAAGAAGGCATGCATTTCAATATGAAATAGCCTAAATATTTTATATTGGCAATCAACAAAATTTTAGACTATGACACAGACTACACAAACAAAAGTTATCTTGTTTTTTCTTTTAAATCTCAAAGTTGGTCACAAGCAAAAATTTCTGGACCCTGAATAAACTCTTTATGTAGTTTCCTGCCACAAAAGCCAGGATCAAATGTTCAGAGTTTCACATTTTATTTCGTTCTCAACTAAAAAGCCATTCTTCATTTGGCTCTTCTGGGCAGAGCTCAGGGTCTCACATAGCAAATAAAGCTAGTTAAGAAAACAAAAAGTAAATCATAGAAAAAATTCTTGACTTTCTAACAGTGAGGTGAGAGTGAAGATGGAGGAATATTCAGTTGTTTATTGTATTTTGGGTTTGTTTTGTCTTGAAGATAGAACTCAATTATATCCTTTTCATCCCAGCACTTGGGAGGTGGAGACAGGCGGATATGGCTGGACAGAGAAAGGAATAAAAGGCAGGAGGAGACAGGAACAGAGAGCTTTTCCCTTTGAGGATTCATGGAGACAGGATTGCCATTTCAGCTGGGTGGAGGTAAGATCTACTGTCTTGGCTGCTTTGCTTCTCTGATCTTCAGCTTGAAGCTCGAACCCCAATATTGGTCTCTGTATCTTTTATTTTCTATATTACAAGTTGCATAGTTGCCTGTGTGTTGTGATACACTCTCTTTTACAATTGCTTTCCTCAGTCCTGTCAGTAAACCCCTGTCCTCCTTTCTCTAGTGGCTTTTCCCTTATGTCTTACAAGAAGTAAAAGGGACCAGAGTAGAGGCAACAAGAATTAACACAAGGACAAATGAACCTCCTAAGATTTTTTGTTTTGTTGGGCTTTGTTTTTTTTTTTGTTTTTTTTTTTTGTTTTGTTTTGTTTTTTCAAGACAGGGTTGGTTTCTTTGTGGCTTTGGAGGCTGTCCTGGGACTATCTCATTGTAGACCAGGCTGGTCTCAAACTCACAAAGATCCTCTGGCTCTCCCTCTCTAGAGTGGGATTAAAGGCATGCGCCATCAATGCCCAACTGTTTTTTTTAATCTCCTTTCTCTCTTTCTTTCCTCCAGTTTATTTTAGACAGAGCCAGGATCTCCAGTTGGGTTTAAAATGGTTGTTTTGTGAACTAATTATCTTTTATCTTTATCTACACTCATGTTTGAGAACCAGAGAGATCTGTTTCCTTCTGACTATAACATCTCAACAATTAAGATTTTGAGAAAAAAAAAAAGATGCTGGTTTATATTCAAGAAGGCAGTACATATTTTAAGAGGAAAACCATCATTACCAGACTTAGATGCTATTATATTTGTATTTTCCCCCTCAAACAAGATCTCCATATATTGCCCAGCCACTTCATGGGCTGAAGCATCCTCTATCTCTGGCCTGAGCACCTGAGATTAGAGGCAAAACTTTAAAATTTTAATCATTACTTCTGTGTCATAATCTCTGAACTTTCCCCTGTAAAATTCTTCATCTGAAGTATCAGTTGCTGCATCAGGTCCATTTTTTATGATGCCCAATGACAGCACCAGTCCTCTACAGTTGCCATGAGTCTGTGTGCAGGATTTAGAAGGGTTGGTGCTTCCGAGGCCTGGTACTGAAGAGTCCACTAGTTACTAGGAGATAAATGCAGCCAGGCCCGACACTGGAAACTTGATTTGGGTCAGTATCAATGATTATTCACAAAAGAGATGAGAGTTGTCAGAACAAATTGCCAGAAACGTGGAGGTAAACAAAGAAAATTCCAGGGGATTTTATGCTCTTTCAGTTATGGGGGGTCTTCAGCTACCTTTGATTTAGCAGGATATCTTTTTTTTCTTTTTGTATTTCAAATAGTTTTCATTTTTATTGGAAATACAATTTATATCACATGGAATTTATGTGTTTGAAGTGCACAATATAACCATTTTTGGTAGATTTATAGAGTCATGTAAATATTTCCACAACCCCGTAGTACAACAGCTGCATCAATAGGTGACAATCCCTATGTTCTACTAAACTGAACAGGGGAAAGCCTATGAGGCCTCAACCCTGCACAAATGACTATAGGCAACTGAGAAAAGCTGGAAATGGGAGAAGTAGTTTCCCTCAGGGAGCCCTGAAAACATACATAGAAGTAACCTTATACAGACTGAATAGGTTATATTTAAGAATATATATGTATGTACACCCCCCGTATGGAACATGAAAAGATTTGTTTCGGCCTTGGGAAAAGGACTTGTACAAAGAAAATGTGCTTCCCTTGAAAGCACCCTTCCTGTGAGGTGCCCTCTCTCAAAATGACTCTGTTGTTTGTTGAAACAAGGTGTCATGTAGTTCAGCTGTCTTTGAAACAGCTATGTAATCAAGGACAACTTAAGCTCTTGATTCTCCTGCCTCTGTGTCCTATGTGCTGGCTCAGAAGTATCTTCATACAGCTGTTCTCTTCTGGTTTTTTACTTGCTGGGTTGAAGTGGAAGAAACTCAAAGTAATGTATAAAGGATTTGTTTGGGAGACATTAAATCACAAAAAGCAAGATTTAGCTAAGGGGCACTGACCCTCAAAATAAGTAGTATGCTTAACTAGTCCTGTTAGAAATAAGTAGTTCTAGACTGTAAATGTTCACTGGGACTGACCATCCATTAGGCCCATTCACCCAAAGAACATGCCTCTAACAGACAGCACAAAT